GTGGCATTTGGACTTATGGTTTGTGAGATATGAAGAAAAATGCGTGTGGGTATATAAAGATTAGGATTTGAAGCGACTGTTAGGGTTTTGAAGATATCTCAAGATCCGCGACGAATTTGCGGTTGAAATTTATTTTACAAATTATTAACAACATATCAGTACTTCATGTAAATTTTGATCTTGTTTGGACGGTTGGATCAAGAGTTATGAGGTGTTGAGGTTCGGGAGAATTTCCACACAAGGATATACAAGGTTTTAGAATACTTCTACCATATTTTGGGTGTTGTTGGTTATTTAAGACTTAAATATTTGGTGTAATTGTTCCAAAAGGAGAACTTATATATATATATATATAATTAGGGTTTCCTTATTTTAAGCTTAATTGAGCAATTAGTGGCAGCCAGAAGCCCAGCGCTTTCTTGAGGCAAAACCTCTCTACTCCGATAGCGCCCTCACAACTTTCAGCATACAATTACCCTCATTCCAATCACTGGAATTCTTCACACAGAACTGCCATTCACATTACAATGTTTCACACAAACACAGACTCATTCTCTCTGCTAAACTACAATCAGATTTCAGCATTCAATCTTTCTTCTTCTCAAATGATACCAATCACATTTCCATTCCCTAATTCACTTCATAATATTCACAAACTCTCAATCCTCCTATTCAAAGAAAATAACAAACAAAAGAAAAGAGGTAGCACCAAGCTTACCTCTGCTCACACTATCACAACGATGGCCCTCAACTTACGACTCTCACAGTCTAGCCCTCAGCTTACGACTCTCACAGTCTAGCCCTCGGCTTACGATTCTCACATGTCGGCATTTTCTTCCCCTCTCCCATCTTCCTTATACTACCTTAAATATCAACTCCTATACTACAAATGATAACTACTTTTCCTGACTATTCATCCATTCTACTTGTTGAACCACCTTTTCAGCAGTTATCTATCCCTGTTTACACTATAAACTAGGTATCTACATTCTGAAAATAACTACTTATTCTACACTGATCTCAAGTATTATTGAATATTGATGATGAATGCAATTTTTATGTTTTCATTCAAAAGAAACAAGTATGTGCAAGTTAAGCAGGAAGGATAAGAAAAAGAAAAAGAAAAAACCTCATGTCATTCAAAACTGCATTTTAAATTTTCTTTGTGAAGTCACACACCTTAAGTGAAATAAGGAAATAAATCCATCCATCCATCAAGTCCTCCATCTGGTCGTGAATCCCGTTATCCATCCATTGATCTAACCAACCATTCATCCAGTAAACCTTTCATCTACTCACCGAAAACTCATCTACTAACAGACAGTTATACATCCATCCATCCACACATCAGGAAGCTCGCAATGAGCCTCCCACACATCTCGTCCAGAAACGATGTCCCCCGCTCTGTCGTCGCTGGACGTTGCATCCGAGGCGACTCTGGAAATTCAAATCGACGCTGGTGCCAAGGAATAGGACTGTTTCCATTAAGGAAGGTAGCAGCAATGAACAGTGGAGGCTGCTTTAACCTGCTTGAAGTTGCCACGTAGACTATGCTGACTCATCGAGCCCCGCACAGCTCCCCTCCCTGCTTCTCCACACTCAAATCCAGGAGGGCCCGGAAAGCTCTAGAATTCTCACGATCCGAGAGCAGAGGGTCTCGAAGTCTAGCGGGTTCTAGACACACCCCCGAGCTCCTCTTTAAAGTCTCCCTACACCCGCCCCCCATTCCACACTTTCAAGTATTCATCAGTGCATTAGTGCATTTTCATCGAGCTTGCGCTTCTCGCGATCTTATTCCGCAGCACTTCGTTGATAGATCATCGGGTTTATTGATTGTAATTGTCGATCGGGAAGGTTTGTACTACTGGTTGTTATTTTTCAAGACCGAGTGTACAGAGTTCGATACTTCTAATTGGATTGATCTTAGTGGCTCTTTGGTCAACTTGAGAGAATGGATTTCCCTCTGTTCCAGATCCTGAGCTTCCCTGATGAGCTTGAGAAGTCGCTGAATCCACAGTCCCAGAAGTATGTGCGCGACACGAAGGCCATGGTCAGCACAGCCGTGGACGTGAAGGAGCTTCCCGATGCCTACGTCTTTGTAGCTGACATGCCAGGACTAAAATCAGCCGACGTGAAGGTGGATTTCTTCGCATCCGAATTTTTTCGAAAGATTATGACAACTGAAATCTTGTTTTTATCGTGATCGGTTGAGAACTTGTGGAGGTGGACTACCAATTGTGACTGAGATGTTCATCAGCGATGATGCCTGCCCGTATTTGTACTTGTGAGGTGTCGCAGGAGAGCATAGTCTGAAGAACCGTATTCTTCTGCTTACAGTTTTGTACTTCGTCTTTGCGATCCTCGTAGTTATAGCGGAATGCGGCTGATCGTGTTGGGCTTAGTTTACTTATACCGGTTGTGGGAGTGTTTTATAATTCTGTCCTTAGCTTGTGATAATTTCTCGATCGCTGGAAATTAATGTGCAGCGATGAGCGTGCAAAATCTCTAGACTCCTTGTACGAGAGCATAGAGTGCTCATTGAGAGAAATTGCATCTTTCTGAGCATGTTAATAGGTCTTTCAAATGGTTCGCAGTGGCTCTGAACATTTCCTGTCCTGTCTCGCGTGGTTCCAAACTTTGTTTGTCCGCAGGCAAGACACTGACATGATTTGCGGCTTGTGCAGGTACAACTGGAGAATGACAATGTGCTCGTGATTGGCGGCACACGAAAACGTGAGGAGCCAGATCCCAAAGTTAAATATATTCGCATGGAGCGCAATTCTGGCACATTCATGCGCAAGTTTACGCTTCCTCAGAACTCCAATTTGGATAAGATTGCAGCCTCTTGTGTCGATGGTATACTCACAGTTACTGTTCCCAAGATTCCTCCTCCAGAACCTGCGAAGCCAAGAACAATCGAGGTGACTATGGGGGGAAAGTAGGATCACACTAAGAGGGCTCTCTAGAAATGACACGGATGACGTACAGGGGCTAAAAATGCCAGAGCATCATGGCAAGATTTGTGCAGGCAGTTCTGAACCGTGAGTTGTATGCAACTCTGGTTGGTTGGGAGGTGCTAGTTATGCCACTGTAGTAGACAGTGTGAGATACAACGTTTGGATACTTGCGATGTGACAAATCTAGAGGAATAGGTGTGAGACTGCCGAATTTGTATAGTTTTTGGTCGCTAAATGGCAGAGGACCTGAAATGGTTCCAGACGTAAATAACCAGAGCATGTCTTACTTGAGTTAAATTTTATGAAGTATTTCAAGTGAAGTCTCAGTTTCAAGTATTCTTTTTCTTCAGTGATGCGTTATTTGCTCACTTAAGTCTAATCTCCTTGTTACAATGTTGATTTTCTCGCAGCACAACTACAATCGACACCTTCGTTTTATGTCACCTTGCATCAACATCAAATGCACCAAAGGTGATTGACGTTCCCAGGAAGTGCCTTAGATTGAGTAACATTCTTTGTAAGTCAAATCGAAATAGCAAGATTCCCTGAAAATAATATCCGACCGAATTATTTAATAGCTTGTACGGTAAGAAAGAAAACAACAAAACAATCATTTAAATATGCATTATAATTCAAATTTACTATCTTTAATTTATTGTCAGCTCATATTTGAAAACAACGCACAACAATGTCTTTACAGTGAACATATGGGCATTCTTCATTAAACATGTTTGTACGAAAATTATATACATGTTTAATAAAATCATAAAATAAAATAACAATATAAAGTATAATACAGGAAAAATTAGATGGCATAATTAAGATTTAGTGTATTTTAAAGTAACTGAAGTAGTTACAATATACTAGGTTTTTTTTTAATGTGACTAAGAATATTGAATAATCCTTTTTGAAAAATCCTTTGAATATTAAAATTAAATACTACCAAATTTCAATCTAATTAGAAACAAATAATTCTAAAAAACTAAATAAATATACACATACATATATGTATACATACTTGTAAATTTTTAATTAATTGCACAAAAATAAGATAACTTTTTTATTATTTATTCTAAAAGTATTAAAGTTTTAACATAAACCAAAAGCTTTAGGATTTGAAAGCAATAAAATATTTATAATTAAAAGATAATAGAGAATTTAGAATATGAAATTTACAATTTACTAGTATTATATATATATATATATATATATCAGTTTTTAACAGCTTGGGTTGAAGTTAAAAAGGCAAAATTGCAATTTGATTGACGATTGAGAGGGAACTTTGAGGACTTGGAGAACATGAAGTCGTTAGGCTATGTATATTCACAAGAACATATGTTGAGATCCTATTGATTTATTCACCCGCAACACTAATGAGGTGCTGCATATATTATTTATTTATTTAAATATTATATTTTTAAAATATTAGATGGATAATGTATAAAATTGTTTTGAAAAGAATAAAGATCAACAATAGCTACAGATTTGTTGAAATTGAGAAGCCTCAGTGAATTTGCATTGTACTATTTCTGATAGCTAAAGCTTTGAAATACTTTCTTTTTGATCAAAAAAAGAATATTTGTAGGGAAGTTTTACCATAGATTTTCAAAATAGGCTTCTTAGTATAAAAACTCCTTTTCTTACTTTTATGAATTCTATGGTGATGTAAAATCATTTGTCTTTTAATTTTCTAAGAATTTTCTACAAAGGAATTTTCTTCACTTGAGGCCTTTCACCTAGTCAATGCTTTTGTGACTTGTAAATGGACTCTTTAAAGAACTAATTGAACCAAAAATGATAATAATATTGCTTTTATTAAATTTCTCATCTTGGACTCTAAGTACTTTCAGAAGGTTAAGTTTGTGTACTCAAAGAATGTTAAGTCTCAGAAGATTGTATGTGGGCTCTTTGAGAAGAACACCACCAAGACCATCTTTAAAGATTCTAACGACAACACCCCCAAGAATAATGCAAGAAGATGATAAGAAAAATCTGCTATGTATTAGAAGGGAGCTGGTGAAGGTAATACTAAAGCCAGACCTGCAGTTGATTGTCAAAATACGATTGCAGATCGAAATTTTCTCCGATCGGGCTTTCAAATGGCTGCTGCATATATTTGCTTTAATTAATGATGATTTCGTACTTGAGTTGCGAGGCGACTGTTGAGATGAATACGATGTTGCAATGGATGTGTATTTGTGTCATGTTTTTGCCCTGCCCTTGCTCTCTTCCTCACTCTTGTTGGCTGGCCAGATTGCACTGTAAACTATTTTAAATACCTCGAAGCATAGGACCCATTGTCCTGCTAAATCAACGTTTGGTTTGTGGGTTTTTATGTGGGTATTTTGAGTGGGTGTGATCCATTGGTTGTGCAGGTGAATGTGCTCTTGGAGTCGCATGTGATAATTTCTGATTGCCGACGGTATTAGGAGTCCGCCTTGGACGCACTTCAAGAGTCTGTGGTGAGCGCTTGGAGCATTTCGCTTAGGGTTGCGATTAACAACAACCAGGTATGAGTTTTTGAGTGCGGGTTTGCAGGGTGGGGGTGTTTGGTTACGAGGTTTGGTGAGTGGTTATGCGGGGGTTGGATTGGACTAAGATGGCTTGCGGTGGGGTGGGGGGGGGGGGCAGATCATTCAAGTGAACCTGATCCAAGACAATCTACAGTCTTTGATTTCTTGTAGAAAGATCGACCTGACGTACGCAACGCAGGAGGAGACCAACTTATCGTTCATCCGACGATTCGATGCGTAGCTGGATTACCCGTTCTTTGAGCACCAGGTGGGTGTGAGGAGGGAGCGGAGGGCTGAGTTGCAAGATTTGTGTAGCGACTGGATGACTCAAGGGGCTTCTCGGCAGGCTGTGCATTACTAGGGATTAGAATTGTCATCTGCTACAACTAATGATTTTGTCTGTTCTACCATTTCTTTGTTTCCATTTCAAGAAGGAATTCTAGGAAGAAAATCAAAGTAAATTTACTTGATACAAGTAGCATGTATGAATTTGTGGGTTGAAAACAAACAACTGTATTAAAGAAAATAAAACTCAATGCATTTTAAACTTCAAAAAAAATAATAATAATAATTTTTATTTTTTGGATTATGATATTGTATTTTTAAAGTGTGTTAACCTTAAAACATGAAAAAATAATAAAAACAAATGCATGTGATCATCATGTAATGTTGTTGTATGTTGTGGAAATATGATATAATGTTTTTTTTGGTATCATATATTAAAATAATGTTAAAAATAAACCTAATTATAAATTTTAATTTACTTTTGAAAAATGAATATCATTTTACTAAAAATATCCATATTGGTCTTAATATTATCAAATTAATTTATTAAATAAAAATTTAAAAATTGACCATTTTTAATAAATCAAACAAATGAATTCCATTTGATTTTGAACAATGAACTAATAATGAAACATGTTTTATAAGACATTAATGTTAAGATTGATTTTAAACACAGAATTAATGAACTCACACATTTTAAACAATTAATTATTGATAAAAATAAATTTTATAATTATAATCCACCTTTAGCATTACTAAATTTTAAAAGTAGTCAATTACATTTAAGAAGAACTTAGAAAATGCATAAAAACTTGTAGAAACCTAAGAAATCCAAAGAAATGCATGGCAACTTGAGAAACTCATGAAAATGCACATGAATCCATAGAAATTATAATACATATGAACACTTTTCTATATTCAATAACTCTTCTCCAAATATTGTCAAGATCTTATATTGTAAAAATAATAAAGATGAAAACACCACTATGAATTTAGTTTATTTTTAAGTTCTTTCAATTTAGTTATTTAAGTTGTACTAAATAGAAATTATAATTTCTAATTACATTGTAAAAACATAAATAGTTCCATTGTCATATACATGTTCTTTTTATTGCTCTTTTTTATTTTGTTATTTTTCTTGATTAATATTTTTTTAGAAGCAGTCAATTTTTGACTCGAAAATCACAAATAAAATATTTTCATCTTTTTGCGACCTATTAAATAATTAAAAAGGAATTTTAGTTAATTCTAAAAGTGATAATATCATCAATTATTTCAAATATATATCTTATAAAGAACCATAAAAAAATCCAATTACAGCAAATATATGCAACACGTCATCAATGTTGCAGGTGAATAGGTCAATAGGATCTCAACAACTATTCTTTTGAATACGCATGGCCTAACGACTTCACGTTCTCCAAGTCCTCAAAGTTCCCTCTCAATTGTTAATCAGATTGCAATTTTGCCTTTTCATCTTCAACCTAAGTTGTTAAATATCTATCTATCTATCTATCTATCTATCTATATATATATATATATATATATATATATATATAATACAAGTAAATTATGAATCCCATATTTTAAATTTTCTATTATCTTTTAATTATAAATATTTTATTGCTTTCAAATCCGAAAACTTGTATCATATTCTCCATACATTGATCAAAACTCTCCCAAAAAAGCCTCCAAATTATCCAATATTAGATCTCATCATTCAAGAAAAGATGAAAACCATGATAATGTTGAACTTGAAAGAAGTATACGAATGAATCTAACTTCTGATCTTAGAGTTGGATAGCTTTGGGATTGAAGTTCAATCACAAGTTATACTTGATTGATAAATCTTCAAAACTTGGATCTTGTGCCATCAAACTTCTCATGCAAGGAACTCTTGATTTTCTAGTTTTGGAAGGATGTTCCACTATAGGACAAAGAATATGATTTGGTGCAGATGTTGAAGCAACTCCAATCATATTTATATCTTCACTTCCTGCCATTCTTGTTGCTTCTTGTGGTGGTAAAGTAAGTTAATGCATTGCAAGCATTAACTCCCTCAATTGTTCTTGCATTTATGCCATTACACTCTTCATTTCAATAACCTATGCCATGATAATACTTAAAAAAAAAAAAAAAAAAAAAAAAAAAAAATTACTCAAAACAAACAAAAGAGAGGACTTGAGAACAAAGGAGATATTAAGAACAATATTAGTTTAAAAGAGGGTAATCTACAACTTCTAGTACGTTTATGTCTTATCAAGAAAAAAAGGTAATCTACTCTTAATCAAGAGAAAATAAATCTCTAATATTGTAAATGTACTTTTATCAATCTATCAATGACATGAACTGAAAGAAGATGCATAAACATGTGAAATCTATGTCAAAAGAAAAGTGACAAAATAAAAATAAAAAAATATGTATATTAAAAAGAAACTAGAATATCTATTGCCAAAAGATAAGAAAACTAAAGACTCTTGAATCTAGACTAGAAGCAAGCAAGGAGTTGACAAGAGTGAAGAAGGCTTCACTCTTACCTCTACATATATTATCTACCTAGGATCTATGTAGCAACGTTCTATAGGACCTTCAAAAAAAAATTGACTTTGCATGTCACATATCTTAACTTGCAAAAAAGTTTTCTATATGGCCGCCACATGGTTAGCTTCTTCTGCAAGCTACCAACACATGTGGCACATGTATAGCGTATTGACTAAGTTTCTAACTTACCAATCAACTACAAACATATGTAAAGTCAAAATATCTAAAGAGCTTCTAAGAAGCTTGTCTAAAAGGTATTATAAAATTAATCTACTTTGACTTAATTCTACCTACCTAAGTAACAATTGTAGTAGATATATATATATCCATGACGAATTGTTGCAAATTATAAAATAAAATAGAAATATAATTCTATGTCAATGAAAACTTTATAAGTAGAAATGAAAGAAAAGATATGCATATAAATTTAAGATATGATATATAAATCTTTGTGCTAGAACTAGAATAAAAATTTATTTTATAATTATAAATATTTCTTTTATAAATTGTAATCTTAGTAAAATACAAAAATTAAAGAAATGTATCTATGAATACAAAAATAAATATTAGTAATATAAGTAAATTTAATATTTCAAAGAAAAGAAACCAAACAATCTTATAACTATGTATATACAAATTGGTATATTTCTTCATCCAATCAATTCTAATAAATAATCCGAAATCAAATAAAGATAATATAAATATATGTATATATGTATAAATATATATATATATATATATATATTAAAAATAACTAAATCAAAGTTTTATTTACTTGGCACCAAATATAGATAGATATATAGATATTCCTTATATTCAACTCAAGAATTGAAAAATATTTTTATATAATTTAATAAAAGCAATATTATTATCATTTTTGGTTCAATTAGTTCTTTAAAGAGTCCATTTACAAGTCACAAAAGCATTGACTAGGTGAAAGGCCTCAAGTGAAGAAAATTCCTTTGTAGAAAATTCTTAGAAAATTAAAAGACAAATGATTTTACATCACCATAGAATTCATAAAAGTAAGAAAAGGAGTTTTTATACTAAGAAGCCTATTTTGAAAATCTATGGTAAAACTTCCCTACAAATATTCTTTTTTTGATCAAAAAGAAAGTATTTCAAAGCTTTAGCTATCAGAAATAGTACAATGCAAATTCACTGAGGCTTCTCAATTTCAACAAATCTGTAGCTATTGTTGATCTTTATTCTTTTCAAAACAATTTTATACATTATCCATCTAATATTTTAAAAATATAATATTTAAATAAATAAATAATATATGCAGCACCTCATTAGTGTTGCGGGTGAATAAATCAATAGGATCTCAACATATGTTCTTGTGAATATACATAGCCTAACGACTTCATGTTCTCCAAGTCCTCAAAGTTCCCTCTCAATCGTCAATCAAATTGCAATTTTGCCTTTTTAACTTCAACCCAAGCTGTTAAAAACTGATATATATATATATATATATATAATACTAGTAAATTGTAAATTTCATATTCTAAATTCTCTATTATCTTTTAATTATAAATATTTTATTGCTTTCAAATCCTAAAGCTTTTGGTTTATGTTAAAACTTTAATACTTTTAGAATAAATAATAAAAAAGTTATCTTATTTTTGTGCAATTAATTAAAAATTTACAAGTATGTATACATATATGTATGTGTATATTTATTTAGTTTTTTAGAATTATTTGTTTCTAATTAGATTGAAATTTGGTAGTATTTAATTTTAATATTCAAAGGATTTTTCAAAAAGGATTATTCAATATTCTTAGTCACATTAAAAAAAAACCTAGTATATTGTAACTACTTCAGTTACTTTAAAATACACTAAATCTTAATTATGCCATCTAATTTTTCCTGTATTATACTTTATATTGTTATTTTATTTTATGATTTTATTAAACATGTATATAATTTTCGTACAAACATGTTTAATGAAGAATGCCCATATGTTCACTGTAAAGACATTGTTGTGCGTTGTTTTCAAATATGAGCTGACAATAAATTAAAGATAGTAAATTTGAATTATAATGCATATTTAAATGATTGTTTTGTTGTTTTCTTTCTTACCGTACAAGCTATTAAATAATTCGGTCGGATATTATTTTCAGGGAATCTTGCTATTTCGATTTGACTTACAAAGAATGTTACTCAATCTAAGGCACTTCCTGGGAACGTCAATCACCTTTGGTGCATTTGATGTTGATGCAAGGTGACATAAAACGAAGGTGTCGATTGTAGTTGTGCTGCGAGAAAATCAACATTGTAACAAGGAGATTAGACTTAAGTGAGCAAATAACGCATCACTGAAGAAAAAGAATACTTGAAACTGAGACTTCACTTGAAATACTTCATAAAATTTAACTCAAGTAAGACATGCTCTGGTTATTTACGTCTGGAACCATTTCAGGTCCTCTGCCATTTAGCGACCAAAAACTATACAAATTCGGCAGTCTCACACCTATTCCTCTAGATTTGTCACATCGCAAGTATCCAAACGTTGTATCTCACACTGTCTACTACAGTGGCATAACTAGCACCTCCCAACCAACCAGAGTTGCATACAACTCACGGTTCAGAACTGCCTGCACAAATCTTGCCATGATGCTCTGGCATTTTTAGCCCCTGTACGTCATCCGTGTCATTTCTAGAGAGCCCTCTTAGTGTGATCCTACTTTCCCCCCATAGTCACCTCGATTGTTCTTGGCTTCGCAGGTTCTGGAGGAGGAATCTTGGGAACAGTAACTGTGAGTATACCATCGACACAAGAGGCTGCAATCTTATCCAAATTGGAGTTCTGAGGAAGCGTAAACTTGCGCATGAATGTGCCAGAATTGCGCTCCATGCGAATATATTTAACTTTGGGATCTGGCTCCTCACGTTTTCGTGTGCCGCCAATCACGAGCACATTGTCATTCTCCAGTTGTACCTGCACAAGCCGCAAATCATGTCAGTGTCTTGCCTGCGGACAAACAAAGTTTGGAACCACGCGAGACAGGACAGGAAATGTTCAGAGCCACTGCGAACCATTTGAAAGACCTATTAACATGCTCAGAAAGATGCAATTTCTCTCAATGAGCACTCTATGCTCTCGTACAAGGAGTCTAGAGATTTTGCACGCTCATCGCTGCACATTAATTTCCAGCGATCGAGAAATTATCACAAGCTAAGGACAGAATTATAAAACACTCCCACAACCGGTATAAGTAAACTAAGCCCAACACGATCAGCCGCATTCCGCTATAACTACGAGGATCGCAAAGACGAAGTACAAAACTGTAAGCAGAAGAATACGGTTCTTCAGACTATGCTCTCCTGCGACACCTCACAAGTACAAATACGGGCAGGCATCATCGCTGATGAACATCTCAGTCACAATTGGTAGTCCACCTCCACAAGTTCTCAACCGATCACGATAAAAACAAGATTTCAGTTGTCATAATCTTTCGAAAAAATTCGGATGCGAAGAAATCCACCTTCACGTCGGCTGATTTTAGTCCTGGCATGTCAGCTACAAAGACGTAGGCATCGGGAAGCTCCTTCACGTCCACGGCTGTGCTGACCATGGCCTTCGTGTCGCGCACATACTTCTGGGACTGTGGATTCAGCGACTTCTCAAGCTCATCAGGGAAGCTCAGGATCTGGAACAGAGGGAAATCCATTCTCTCAAGTTGACCAAAGAGCCACTAAGATCAATCCAATTAGAAGTATCGAACTCTGTACACTCGGTCTTGAAAAATAACAACCAGTAGTACAAACCTTCCCGATCGACAATTACAATCAATAAACCCGATGATCTATCAACGAAGTGCTGCGGAATAAGATCGCGAGAAGCGCAAGCTCGATGAAAATGCACTAATGCACTGATGAATACTTGAAAGTGTGGAATGGGGGGCGGGTGTAGGGAGACTTTAAAGAGGAGCTCGGGGGTGTGTCTAGAACCCGCTAGACTTCGAGACCCTCTGCTCTCGGATCGTGAGAATTCTAGAGCTTTCCGGGCCCTCCTGGATTTGAGTGTGGAGAAGCAGGGAGGGGAGCTGTGCGGGGCTCGATGAGTCAGCATAGTCTACGTGGCAACTTCAAGCAGGTTAAAGCAGCCTCCACTGTTCATTGCTGCTACCTTCCTTAATGGAAACAGTCCTATTCCTTGGCACCAGCGTCGATTTGAATTTCCAGAGTCGCCTCGGATGCAACGTCCAGCGACGACAGAGCGGGGGACATCGTTTCTGGACGAGATGTGTGGGAGGCTCATTGCGAGCTTCCTGATGTGTGGATGGATGGATGTATAACTGTCTGTTAGTAGATGAGTTTTCGGTGAGTAGATGAAAGGTTTACTGGATGAATGGTTGGTTAGATCAATGGATGGATAACGGGATTCACGACCAGATGGAGGACTTGATGGATGGATGGATTTATTTCCTTATTTCACTTAAGGTGTGTGACTTCACAAAGAAAATTTAAAATGCAGTTTTGAATGACATGAGGTTTTTTCTTTTTCTTTTTCTTATCCTTCCTGCTTAACTTGCACATACTTGTTTCTTTTGAATGAAAACATAAAAATTGCATTCATCATCAATATTCAATAATACTTGAGATCAGTGAAGTGCAATTGCTTTGAACAATGTTCTGTGTATAATGTAGGTTTTTGTATTTATTTGTTTTTATCTAACTTGCCAGATAGAAAAAGAAATGAAGTTTCATTTGAAAATTTTAGATTATTTTGAAGAAAACCATGTGTTCAAAAGTTTGAGTTGTTATTGGTTTAGGTATATTGCAATTTGATGTATTTATACTTTGATTAACTCTTGTAGCTAGATTGAATATCTTCTACATCTATGTACAACAACAGTGAATAGTAAGAATTCAAAATTAGCATATTGTTAGTCAAACAAAATAACAAGAATTTAAATAGAAGATTGCATTATTCTTTAATAAGAATAGTGGATATTATGGATACATTATAATTGTTGTTTGTCTAATTGAAATATACAAATGCTAAAAGGTATGTTTATCTAAGACAAAGAAAATGGGAGTGAATGAGAAATATTTTGCTTCTTAAAGTAATACGTGTTTTGTCCATGTATATATCCATGTGTTTATGAGAATTGTGGTGATCTTTATTACATCTCAATTATTTGTTTTAATATGTTACTTTTAAAGCATAGTAAGAATCCCACAAGCTAGTGTGTACGTATTAGTGTGTTCGTTTGTATATGAAAAAAATTTAAATTCAATAAATGGTTTAAATATAAATAAATAAATAAATAAATAAATAAATAAATAAATAAATATTTAAATAAATAAATAAATAAATAAATAAATATATGTCTTTATTCATATGTATACATATTTATATTAATATAAATAAGAAGATGTAAATTGTTTTAGGAATTTGGATCATGTCAACGTGGCCAACTTTTATACTTTTAGTTTAGTTTTGTAAAAGGTTAAAGTTTACTCCCCCTCATTCACCCTCATCCGCGATTCCATCCATCCTTACCGATGTCGGAGAGCGTGGGCTCCAATTCGTTTTGAGGCTGCTTCAGAGGCAGAGTGAACCGATACTTGCAAGCTTCACTTCACCAGCCAGCCACGGAGCTCGAGGATCGCGGAGGCCTCATCGCATTGTCCTTCCTCCACGCCCATCCTCACATTCTACTCCAGGTATACTCCCATCTCTTGTGTCCTGTTTGACTGCTAAAAAATTGCAACGTTTTTTTTTTCTTCCTTCTGAGTTTCATTGCAGCTTGTCATGATTACTTTTTGTGCACTTCGGGTGTATGGAGGCAGCGTAAGAGGATTTTATTTTGGGTGTACCGTTATTTTTCATGATTTAACTCAAGCGTCTGCCCACTTTTTTGGGTTTTGTTTTTTGTTTTTTTGTTTATGTTGGTGAACCGTGACTTGGGAGCTTCTGTGATAGAGTGGGCTGGCAATGCTTGTATTGAGATATTAGGGTTTAGGGTTCTGGAACTTATGCCTGTTCCTCTTCATCGCACCTTTTTTCTTCTTATTGAGGTTTATTAGTGTGCCTGTGATCATGGTACATGTAGGTGGCTGGAAGATTATTAGTTCTGTTACTGTCAGTGTTTTCTGCATTTATTTTTATTTTTATTTTTATTTGTATAAAACTTACTGTTCCTCGTCTCTCAACGCCCTAGAATCTACTACGAAGCTTTTCAAAGATCTTGGTTCTAGAAATGCACATGAATGTGTTGTATCAGCTCATTTGATGCATATTGGTATTTCAGGCCATTCGGGCTTGAGGAATTTAATCGAAGCGAGATGGATCCACCAACTGAGCTTTTAACGGAGCAAGAGGCTGCTGTTTATGATCGGCAGATCCGTGTTTGGGGTGTTGATGCTCAAAGAAAGTACGTTTCTGACCTTCTCCCTATCGTGACGATGGGAGACATGGTGTAGTTAGGCAGGCACTCACGGATTCTAAGTAGTCTAAGATATATGAAACATGAATTATGATACACGAACTATGATATTTTATGATATATGAATTATGATATTTAGGGCGCTTTTGTAAAACTTACGCGAGGAGTGAAATCGTCACGATGCTGTTTAAATGGAGATTATCTGAATTCTTCTTAATGAAAAAATAGGCCGTTATTTTATCAAAGGCGGGATTGGACAGCATAACTCTACATCAGAAAGCTTAAATTCTTGAATGTTTTGGTGACCCAGATTAAGCAAAGCCCGCGTTTTGGTGGTCGGTATGTCTGGTGTTATTGCAGAGGTAATGGAATCACTTTTCGATACTCTGTTTTCTGTGAAATGGAGTGTGCTACGTTTGTGGACATTCCCTATACTTGATTTGTTGGTTGCTCGCACTTATCGTTGGAAACGACTTGTTTGCAGACTTGCAAGAATATAGTGCTTGCAGGGGTTGGAAGTCTCACACTGGTTGATGACAGTAAGTTGACGTTGGAGGCTTCAGCTGCGAATTTTTTGATCCAATTTGATGAACTGGAGGGTCAAGGGATCACTCTTGCGGAAGCATGCGCAGCTTCGTTGCGTGATTACAATCCCATGGTCCAGGTTAAGGCCGAAGCAGGTTAGTTCGATTTTGCAATTTACACAGCTTCAGTGACCAGTATGCTTACATTCACAGCGATATAATTCCTCTTTGTTAGATAACGTAGTCTTGATAAAGTTAAACTCTTGACAATGGTTGTACATTCATGATCTTTTGTTGCAGGCAGCATCCAGAACAAGCCTGACAGCTTTTTTGGCAATTTTGATGCCATCATATTGGGGCGATCTTCTATCAGTCTACGGGTCTGCTTCCACACTGGTTCCTGATGTCCGTTTTATCCATGAGCTTGTTTCTGTTAACGTTTTTCTTGCTCAGTCCTTAGTATGTTTGGTGATTTGTGTTTATGCTAACTCGAGGTTTGAATTTGAATGTCGCGATCATGGAACAGAAACACGTAAATGAGCTGTGTCGAAAACAAGGTCATAGAATTGGATTTTATTCTGTGGATTGTAGAGGCACTTGTGGCAGCCTGTTTGTGGATCTGAAGTCGCATTCATATGTTTCGAAGGTGTGAGTTGCTTTTCGCTTCTTCCTCACAATATCTTTAATGTGTGAGCAAGGGAGGGAATGTGGCTCCCTAAGAGTCGTGTTTGTTGAATTTATACAGCACATTCCTATCTCTCTGTAAACCTTGCTCTTGGTGAAACTTTGTCTAGATGCTGCAAAAATCTACTTATAGGAGTTGTGAGCATCTGAAAAGCTGCTTTCATGGTTATAATACAAATACGTCAACTATTTAAGTCTACTGTTGTGTCGGCCCATATTAAGCATGTAATTAGTTCTTCTGTAGCCCTTCATGCATTTCTCATTCGCAAACAAGTGCAAATTCTCCAATATATTCAATGTAGCATTACCTAGGAACTTTCCGTACTGTTCAGTTACTCACATTCATGGGATGATCGCAGAGAGCAAAAGACGATAAAGATGCACGACACGAGTTGACATACCCAAGTCTTGAGGTAAGAAGCAAGGGGTGCCATTGTCATGTAAGGACGCGCCAGTCAGCGTGTTATGAATTCTGTTTGGATGTCTCTGTAGAAGATTCTCAATTCGTAACTACTTGATCACCGTTTTAGTACATACTCACAGCTAGACCACTAACTTTTACCTGTCTGGTGCTCTTTGGTAGGAAGCATTGAGTGTACCGTGGAAGAGCTTTCCAAAGAGAACATCCAAACTTCTTTTCGCTCTGAGATGTAAGTGCTGAGAACCTATTTTATACCTTGTTCATGTCCTTGTATTATTCAAACTCTCCACTCTTTGTAGTGTATGGATTTACCCAATATCCACATTTCACAAGTTATTCGTCTAGATATTTATGATTCATATTTATGTGCAGTATAAAACAATACGTTCCTCAGGGTTTTATTTTTTCTCCGCATTGTTCCACTCTAGCGCTGATTTTAATAGCAGCATATGGCTCTCGTCTGATTTAAACAGGCCTTGAAGATTTTGAACATGCAGAGGGCCGTCAGCCTGGGCATGTTTCTTCTCAAGACCTTCCAGCATTACTGGCTTTTTGGAAGTCAGCTTGTGAAGCTCAGGTTTGTTTCTTATTTTATGCTGTTGTGCGATTTGGAGACGTCTTCATGTTGCTTCGCTACTTCATCTTTCTCAGTTTGATCTTGTGCTTCAAGCGGCTCTGAGGCGTGGCATGCTCGTTGCCTCCGCGCTCCTGACTTGATTTTTTTCCATTATATTACTCAAGTTTCTGTCGTCAACAATTTAGCGTGGACATTGAAGTCTAAGTGGTGAAGTGCAGAAGGTGGCTGAAAATCTTGTTTCAGAGCCTCTATTCCAGAGATTGCTGGGTTCAGGCAGCTCTGAGTTGCCCCCTGTATGTGCTATCTTGGGTGGCATCGTTGGCCAGGTAATACATTGTAATGAGAAAAGTTTTTATGTTTTCTTGTGCATCATTTCATGTTAGAAGAGAGGGCCAGCGAGCTCTACTTGAATAGCTGCGTGGAAGCTGATGTCATATAACAAACGCTGGAGCTGGCGTAGTTTTTTGATATCTGGTAGTGTCGACTTGTTTTCAGCACATCGAAGCATTCTGTATGAAACGTATCGCTTCTTTACATTGAATCCACGCTATTGTAGCACCGTATCTTGTCAAGTCATTTGCACAACGGAGGTTCTTGCAAGTTGATCATGTTTCTCTTCTCATGTTAACTTGTTGCCGCTGGTTTCAGGAGCTGATCAAGGCAATGTCCGGTAAAGGAGAACCTCTAAGGAACTACTTCTTTTTTGATGCTGCTGATGGGAAGGGCATTATAGAAATGGTTGCACCAAAATAAGAATTGAGCGTGCAGCCAAGCTTTTGTCCATCTCCTTCAAACCCTGTACAGAAAGTTGATAACCCTGTCACTTTACTATCAGACTGTCATTGAACCCAGTATTGGGGCATCAATTATCCCACACCTTCATATCAAGGAGGATCAGCCTTAACGTCCGAGTACCACGTGGAAAATGTCGGTGCAAGTTTTATTTTCTTTCTATTTTACCATGTCAAGGGAAAACTTGCTTGCCTTAGACGTGTGCTTGCTCTGGTCGGACCACATGAGCTTTACTACCTGACATCAGTGGTACTCTATGATGATCCCAATCCTTTTTACGTTGAAATCCACCTCTATGGACAACCCGCACAATTAATTGCTCTCGATGGAAAGCTAATATTTTTCTATTTTAAAGTACTAACTGTTTTCCGACCCCCATGAACTGCTTGGTCGATCGTTTGGTAGTGTCCAAACAAAAGGCGACTCGGCTCTTTCCATTTTACATCAGTACAAAGCTGCAAATCGCTTGCCGTATCGTTCTAAATCGTGATCCAAGTTCTTAACAAAACATCGGCTTACAACGCTGGGCATTCCAACTTCCGGAATCAGCGTCTATTTCAAAGATGCTGACCGGGTGTGCAGATGAGAGAATTCTAAGTCCCTCGGAGGACTTACTTCTTCCTGACACGCTTTAATAAGGGTGCATGGACCCAACGAGGGATGTTCCCGTTCATGCCATTCGTGGTGCAGTCTTCTGCGGTAGCTCTCAAGATTTCTCCGCACCGCAGTAAATCCGAGCAGCAATAACTCACATCTCCATCCGATGGATCCTTGATGTTGACCCTACTACATTGGGCCTAGGGCCCTCACATGTGCACCGAGACGAGCCTCTGACGGCTGATCTAGAATCACCCTCAAGCCTCTGGTCGCCGACCTCCGGACGGACGACGGTGACCACTTCTGCAATGTGAAGCAGGGGCAAGGAGTCACCGTACCCACGAAAGCCCATATTCGTATTCGTACAATATAAACTACGTATAAATCAGGTGTACCAACTTCAGGAAATTGTCGGATGAACGTAGTCCTCGATGAAAACTATTCGTCAATCCATTTACTTACCGTTACGTGTGATGTCAGACCACGGTAACTTTCGAAAACGTACCCGAGGCGAAAAAGTTTCTCACGCCCAAACCTTCAACATTCATGGAGGGCGGGCAGGGCAGATTTTTTCAAAAACGAATGCCGAACGGCTCGGCATAAGAAATTACTGTGGGTCAAAAATTCGTAAGAGCTAAAGTTTTCAGTTCACTGGAACAAGGGTGGCGATTCTGTGTTCCCAACATTGAGAACAAATGAAGATCGGCTTGCTGGCCGGCGTAGATTCTCCCCGACGAAACCTAAAAAATCTGAGGTCGTGGTGAGAACGGTGTCGGAGATCGTTCGCCGTCCGGGTGCGTCACGGATTAACTGCAGCGATGGATTTCAACTTCGCGGAGAGGTGACGGATTCAAGCTGTGCTGCAGTAGCAGCGGCGCAGCCACTCGGAGTCTAACTCTCGGTTTTTTTGTTTTTTGTTTTTTGTTCTTTTTGTTTTGCAGAGCCCGCCTGGCTATGACCAACGGCACCATCCGTCATCGTACTCCGCAATGCGACGTTGAGCTCTTTCTTCAAACTCAAATGCTTGACGGAAGAGAAGATCTGACAATGCCTCCGAGCCCCGCTTCATTCGTGTTTTCATCCCCGCGTACGACTCCCTCTGCCATTACTGCTCTCCCTCCCCTGGCCACCGTTCTCATGACCCTTGCATTTGGAGCCGTGCCGGCCCATTGAATGTGCTGCGAAGGATTTATTGCCACCCTTGGCGAGGGTCGCGCAGTGGGGACTGAGTGCCCGGATTGGAGCTCACGCGGCGGTTGTTCTCTTGAACATTGGTTAAATAAGATGTGCTAGAATACTCTTCAGTTCGTTGTGAGTTTCGGAGTGTGTCAAGAATCTTGATCCGAGAGCCGTACTCGAGGATTTCGGTATGCTGGCCTACTATATATTTTGGAGCTGTATTGGCTATTGACTCGTGGAGTGTTGAATTCGGCCTCTGCTGTATGCAATCATCTCCCTTTTGTTTTCGAAGATCGTTGTGGTTAGCTTTGGTTTGTTTGGGTAGTACTGAGTTATAGAGGGTAGGATAGAGCTGAAGGCCGTCGAAGGCAACTTGGAATTCTAATTAATTGTAGCGACATGGTGGGGTCACGGATCGCCTGGTGCTGCGTGAGTATGGGAATGTTGCTCTTGATGGGGGCTTCACAATTTGTGAGTGGACTCGGGGTGAATTGGGGCACTATGTCTGTCAACCCAATGCCTCCTGGATATGTGGTGAAGATGCTGCAAGCGAATGGCATAAAAAAGGTGAAGCTCTTTGATGCTGATCACGATGTAGTGAAATCGATGGCGGGAACCGACATTGAAGTTATGGTGGCCGCACCGAATGACTTGCTCTTCAAGCTTGCCACTTTGAAAGGGGCAGCTGACGCATGGGTGAAACAAAATGTGACGCGTTTCAATTTCAAAGGCGGGGTTAACATCAGGTATGAGCAGGTGCCTTCATGCCTGGACCTCTATGTTCTGCTGGCTCCTTGATCTTCGTTTTACGAAGTTCAGAGCTATGTTCGAAGGTCTTGCTCGTCGTCTGGAATCACTCTGCAGAATAGCTGATGTTGAAGGAGATCAGAGGTACTTGAGCTCACAGTAGTGCCGCACGCTTCTAGTTCAAGGTTGATTCAGTTTCGACATCAAAAAGTCGTGGTAATGTTTGAGCGTAGTCTTAGCTAAGGAGATAAGAGCTTGGGGCGCGCCGTCCGCGCCCAGCAGGACTTTCAGTTCTGTGAGTCGTGATCTATGTGTTCAAGAAGGACTGTTCCTGTGGATTAGATCGATGACACGGATGATTCGGGGGAGTCTTTTCAGGATTTTCAACGATCGGCCTTGAGGAGCTCGTGGTCCATTTTTGCTTTGCCAGGACTTTGCTATTTGTGCAATGAGGGAAGCGGGCACAGTTGTAGTCGGTCCAGTCAAGATCCATGTTTCTTGATTACGGAAACCTCTCCCAAATTTGGGATCCTACGAGGGTCTCAGCTCTTAACTGCCGGAGCTGTGTTCAGTTCAGTTTTAGATTTTTATTGACGCAAGTGAGTACGATTGTGATGGATACTCGTGGCCTTTTGCAGATGGGTTGCAGTAGGGAACGAGCCATTCCTCACTGCATACGAAGGCCAATACTTAAACACAACATTACCAGCTCTTAAAAATGTAGTCGATGCTTTAGCGAAGGCAGGTCACGCAAACACGGTGAGGGCTATCATCCCGTTCAATGCCGATATTCTGGATGGTGCTCCATTGCCATCAGCAACCCGATTCAAGGCAGAGTACCTGGACCAAATTCTCCCGATGTTGCAGATTTTTAACAGTACAAACTCTCCATTCAGCGTCAATCTGTACCCATTCATTAGCAAGTACCAAAATCCTAGTTTTCCCTTAGACTACGCCTTCTTCGGAGGAACTACTTCCCCTCTTATAGATGGCTCAAATACGTACACCAATGCCCTTGATGCGAGTGTGGATGCGTTGATAGCTGCCCTTGGAGCAGCAGGGTACCCAAATATGCCTGTTGTACTCGGCGAAATCGGCTGGCCTACTGATGGAAACGAATATGCTACCAGAGAGTTGGCTGGGACCTACAATCAACAGCTGATTAACCACTTGCAAAGTAATAAGGGTACCCCCATGCGGCCCAACACGTTCACTGAATTTTACATGTTCGGATGGCTAGATGAGAATATCAAGAGCATCCTTCCTGGAGCATTCGAGCGCCACTGGGGGATGTTTTTCTACGATGGAGTTGCCAAATACGAACTTAATCTTGCAGGTGCGTTGCTCTTCTGAACTGATTGTACATTTCTTAGGCGAAATTCATTTTCTAGTGCTAAACTTCTCCTACAGTGTATTTGGGGAAAATTCCCCGCTGGATTAGAGTTGACTCGCATCTCTCGGCTTACGCAGGTGGCACAGACGCTCCTGCACAAACGTTAAAGAATGCTGAGTACCCACCCTACATGAGTGCTCAATACTGCGTGTTAAACACATATGCTGACAGGACCAATCTCAGTGAGAACGTAGCTTTTGCATGCTCTCGTGCAGATTGTACACCTTTGTTTCCTGGCTCCTCCTGCGCAGGCTTGTCGCTCGAGCAGAATGCGTCCTACTCTTTCAACGCATATTTCCAGTTTCAAAACCAAGATCCTGCTGCATGCAATTTCCAAGGTCTGGCCAGTATTACAACCGTGGACCCTTCTGCAGGAAACTGTCGTTTTATCATTGGACTCGTCAAATCGAAACCGTCCACATCAAGATCAGATGCTGGAAGTGCCTTCAGACCAAAGAATTACAATAATGGTATAATTGTGGCAATCTCTGCCCTCTTTTTGAGTAATCTGTTTTGTTTTAGTTAGGATCTACACTACAGTAGTGTTCAAATTTGTACATTGGTAGGCACAGAGCTTGATTCCTCTCAATGGGTCTGCGGCCTTTCTGGTCGCAACAAGTGAAAGGCAAGTTCAACGCAGAGGAGATAAATGATTATACCCATTTTTTGTAGCAGTAGTTTATTTCAGGTTTTGGCACATTCAGATAAGTATCAGCTTGCATCAAGCGCGCCTTTTGTCGAAGGCACACTGTCATGTCCCTCCCGAGCATGCCGAGAGGGATAAAGACTGGTCCAGGGCGAGACTTACATAGGACTTGACCACGGACCTCTCATATTCCACAAGCAACAGCTGATATGTCAATCTCTTGTGACAGAAAGTGGGTTTGTGACTAATTTTGTGAAGAAACTCGATTCAAACGTCTTTTGTTGCATCTTTATTGGTTTGAACACTCCATCTGGTGTGAATCTGCTGTGCGTGAACCCAACTTCCATGCTTCTGTATCGAATGATTCCATTCAATCCTGAAAGTACCATTCGCTCGTCGTGTCTTTGGATCGCAACTCATCCAGTCGCCCGATTTTTTTTTGATGTTCTCTGTTGCAGAAAACAGCATTCTGTACACGCTCGTCTTAAATTTCATGTATAGTTTCCAGATAAAAAGTCCTCGCCCAATGAAAGACTGCTTGAAAAACATTAACGAATGTTTCCCTGATGAAGTTTGACGGAAGGGTTGATGACATGGTGTAGCTCCCCTTTACCATAAGCGATAAGCAAGTTTCATTGCTTGTCAATTATAGATACGTGCCGGATTAAAGGCGGAAATTCGGGTGTTGACGGAAGAGAAACTTTGCAAACCCAGGTATCAATTAAGATACGAACGCCTTCTTGATAGGACTACATCTTAGATTTCTGTAAGCCATCGAATGTTTGGCCTAGATGGGACATGCAACCCAAGTGGAATCGAAATGGTTAGTGAGAGTACGAAGCCATGGGCAGCGGGTAAAGTGGAACTTGGAAAAATGAGGTGGTGAACCCATGAACAGATGGTCTTGGACCGGGTATAAGTTTACGACGGGTATGTATCAAAGATGTGGCTGGCACTTGCAGAAACAGATAAGGTCCGCGAAACTGAAGACCATCGCGTAAGAGGGAGCACGGCCGCTCACGCGAATTCCAATATCATTTGCAAACTCTGCTCGTCTTGGATCGAAGAGCTCCTCACCTCAATTGCAGCAGCCACAGGCAGCAGCGATGGCGCTCTCCACCTCCATGGCCGCTCTCTCGGTGGGCTCCTTCTCCGCCACCAAGCTGGTTTTACCTTCCAGCTCCGCACGCTGTGGCTTGACGTCGTCGTTCATTCCTAGCCGCGTGGTGTCGTCCCTCTCTTCGTCCCATTTCGCAGGTGGGTTTTTCAGTTATCCTAATGCTGGAACATTTGTCTGATCTCGTTACTTGTGGTCGCATTGATGCGGGTAGATTGTGTGAGAGCAGTAGACAAAGTGGTGAGGCCATGAGCAGATTTCAGTTGAGTTCGGTCGAAGAGTTTTCAGAATTTGGGTTTGAATGGTAATTTGGCAGTGTATTTGGTTGTGAGTGGTTTGAACTGAATTCGAAGACGGAATTGGATGTCGGAGAGTAAACACCATTTGGGCCCAGAATGTACCACTGATTTAGAGTTTGAAGATATCGAAACTCTGTCTCGTCAAAAAGCGATTTGCTCCCGTAAAGGTTGTACAGTATCAATTGAGATGAGTTTTCAAAGGGCTGGCTATGGATTCTGTACACTGAGCGTAGCTGCATTGAACTTCCCTGCAGGAGTTGCCTTGAGACCCACCACATTCGGACTCCCAATGGTGAAGAGAGGAGTCTCTCTGGTTGTGAGGGCCGGCAGCCCCTGCCTGGGATGCACCAAGCGCTCGAGGTCTCGCAAATCTATCGCGCGCGTGTCTGGCTTCCGTGCTCGCATTTCCAGCCCAACCGGCAGGAATGTGTTGAAGAGGAGACGCGCGAAGGGCCGCAAGAACCTTGTCCCCAAGTCCAACCCTAAGAGTGGCAAATACGCTTAAGTACTGGCATAGTATCAGTCGATGTCTTCCCAGAATGGTGACTTAGCTAGGCTTTCTTATAATTAGCATAGGCCCTTCTTTTATTTGACACCATGTGATACACCCACGTAACGTTGCTGTTGCGCATGTTTCTTATTCTCCCGGCTGCGTGCCTCACAACACTTACAATTTCCAAGTTCTCACATTTTCCGAGATCTCTGCCCTAAGTTTGTTGCAACCCATCAGTCGACTCCTTTGTGGAAACGTTGTCTACTGCTGTCTATCTTCTTTGCTTCTTGAGCTCATTCATCTTGGCTTGGCTATGGCTTCAATTTCGTCGAGCTTGTATGTCGACACAGACGTGGATTGATGCTGCAAGTGACACGATGAAGCTGGCGAAGAGATTGACGTAATGAATGGAGATTTGTATTATCGCTTCCCACCACTTCTCAGTGCCAACCCAGTGGATCACTTTCGAGTGTGACTTGATTAAGGAATGATAATTACATAAATAAAATTTAATTTCTGTAGTTAGTCATATATTTGCATCCAATAACATTCGGAAAACTTTAGAAAGTGGAAAGCAGGATTGATTGCAAGGAATTGCAGACGAGATTGTTTCATTGATGCGGGGCACAGTCAAGATATCTATCACACGGAACTCATTTTGAATGTACAGAATGCAAACATGAACGATTCCAATGAGAAAGAAGAGCATAGTCAATGAATTGTGATCAAAGCTACTGTCCAAGCTTAACAAAATTTTCAAGGATAACTGACCCAACTTCTCACACTAGTTAACAAGTTTGTATACTAACACCACAATTTAATTTTGACGATATGAAGCCATGGATTGGGTATCTTTATGCTTGTGGAAACACCTGACCCCTCAATCTAAACCCTGTGATAGCTGATGAGTCAAGTACACCTAAAGTCAATCTCTAAGATGTTGTGTTCCTACAGACCCTGTGAAAACATCTCAAGGTTGATTATCTCATTAAAAAATTCGATTATCTTTAACAAAGTCAAAAGTAACATTTGCACCGTTTTGAAATTCAAACAAAGTATTCATAGTAAAGTATAAACAAACAAGTCATGTTTTTAATTCCAACCCATGAGGTGCTTGTAGAATCCTCCCGAGGTCCTTACATGGTGCAAAAGGAGCCACTATCTGGAGGGGGGACTCAGCGTGGTGAGAAAGGGGCTGTTATAGGGGGCCGTGAGGGTCACCCGAGAGCAGAGTCTGCAGCTTGGGCTACTCTTCTCGCTCTCGCTCTCGCATCGCATTGCAGAGTCACCAGCTCCTCGATTCAATCCATTGTTGAGATTCCACAAGAGGAATCAATAAATCCAGCTGAAGAGGAAGAAGAAAAGAAACGCAAAAGAAGGAACCAGGAGCTGACTAGCATCGCAGTCGCCACGCCCACCCAATTCAATCATCAACAGTTCCTTGTGTCCAACCTCTTCCTCCTCTTCACATGCCCCCTTGATGTTGACAGAACTGATCGTGGCCTCTGGCGCAATTCGAGTCCCTGGACGTTCCTTACCAATTTGTGAGATTGGTCCATCTCTGGTACCATTCTCTAGATTATCCATCCTTTAGTTTCCAATTCCATGTTCGTGGTTTGTGTGATGTGTTTTCTCGTTTATGGGTTGAGTGTTTTGATGTTGTTGAATTGGTCGCGTGCCGTGCAACAACCAGTTTTGTGGAGGGTTGAGTGTTGTCCAATTTTGGAGGAGTTTGTGTGAGGTTGCGTGAGAGTCTACATTGCTTGAGTTGAATTGAGGCGAAATTATGCGAGATAAAGATATTTATACTTTTGTTTGTTTGTTCGTGTGGAATTGGAGCTCAGCTTTGATAGATGGAATGTAGGGAGCAGAAATTGAAGGAGTTTCGTGAGAAATGGAGACCGCTGCCATGCTGGGGTCGAGTGCGGTGTCCAAGACGACGCAGGTGGCCTCTTCAAAAATGTCAAATCTTGGGGCAATTGAGAAGTGCAGGCTTCAGCTTGATTACTCCATGACGGGAACCGTAGCGGCATTTCCCCAGCGTATGAAGAACGTGATCAAGATGCTCATGGGAGACATGGGATCCAAGGAGGGGGTGGTGAAGACGGTGTCGGAGATCAAGGCTGAGAATAAGGCTATGAAGTTGCCTACCTTTCCTTTTCTGGACTTATACGAATTCATTTGCTGGTAAGAATATTGATTTTCCTTTCCTGTGTTTCCTTTCGTAAGCAGTCACGAGGTCGGAAATTAGCACTTGGATACATGATATTGACACTGGATAATTGAAGAATAAATCAGCTCTCAACTTTTTTACAGCAATGAGATGAAGACACTATATAGCGTTATCATGTAGTCAGTTGTCAGACATGATATATTGGTGATGTTAAAAGATGTGGAAGAATGGCTGTGAAAAGAGATCCTCTAAACCACGACACTGCTACTCAGGCGAGCCAGTTGTGTGGCAATTTAACTGTAGAGGTTTCGTAAAATCTGTAAAGATCGAAAAGATGAAATAGACTGTGCGGCATCTACGTATGTCTTAACTAAGAGCTCTTCTTCCTCTTGGCTTACTTATGCACAGTGGGCCTCTGTTGGAGAAAGTAGGGTTTACCCAGGAAAAGGTTGCACTGCGAATTGACGAGTAGCTAATGCTAGGAATTAAGCTCTCACGCCAACTGATGTGTTTAATCTTTCTCACTCCGAAAAGGTTCGGATCTATTAATACTACGTGCCCGTGTTTCTATGAAGCAAGCGCGAGCTGGAAATTCATAGTAACGAGTTTAAGCCAGGCGAAGAACTGCCTGCATTGGTGGTAATAAACATTCGTAATCTGGCTTTACCACGGTTGCAATCGAAATAATCAGTCAGACGAGAATTGAATTGTGGGTGTACCGTTGTATTGAATGTGACCATATTATCCAGGCTAAGCTATGCATTGCAAGATGGTGTTAGCTTTGGATTGTCTTTCCAAGATGGATGCGATTTCTTACTTGGATGTCCCTTGGTTTGTTGACAGATCGGTATCAGCGCTCCTCAGAGTTGTGGTCAAACAACGATTGTCTATTCCCTCGAGTATATGTTCAATTCTCTTGGCAGGTGAATTTCGCTTTCTCGTGGTGAAATTCTACTTCTCAACCTTCGAATTTTTATAATGTCTTGCTTTATAATGTCTTGCAAAGATATATTTTTTTTCAACTGACTGAGAGTGTGTGTAGTGCCATGCAATTGTTGGTAGCTTTCCAGGTGGTGATATCTACTTTAAGAACTTTATTTTTGTGAATTCAATATGACTGCGTACTACTGAATTTAGGTAGTTTATGGGATTACAATTTAATAACTCATATATTCATTCTACATGGCCCTTCAAATCAAGTCGGATATTTGAATAATTTTACTCACGGAACGGAAGCCTCCCAATGGATCTAGTGGCTTTCTAAGCTGTGCAAGTAATATAGATTCAGCACCTTAAAGGTTTCTTACGTTGCTCTCGGATGGTTTCGACAGGTAGTGTTATTGGAGGGTTGGATGCTAGGGTTTGAACCTCAAAATGAATCTGAAGTTATTGCCGTTGATCCACAGGTATCCCAGGTGTGGCGAAGCTGAGATCAAGTAACATGTCATTTTCGACTTTGTGACAACCTCATGTTCTTTTACTATCTTTACCCTGTTGTTTCCCTTCACTTATACAACACTCCGTATTATGGTGTTTAGGTGACCGATTTTGTTTCAAGATATATGTCTGCCTGCAAGGCCTACTTGGCCGTCCGGTATGCGCAGGGGCCTCAGGGCTCAAAAGAAGAGCATTTGTTGATGCTTAACGTTAACGAGAATCGTATCCCAATCGGCTGATACACTGCTCTTCACGCCAATCTAGATGGCTCGTTTATTGCAGTTCAGGCTCCGGAAAGCAAAAAAATGGGGCAGGGGAGAAAGTAGTTCAAGTGGATCACTGGCCAGAGTCAGCAGCATTAGCAAGTGGTTTAGCAAATCAAGAACACATTCGTTTGCAGAATGTTCTGCACATGTGGGCTACTAATAAATTGATTGGGTTTCCCATGTTTACTTCTGAAGGTGAGGGAGGATTTCAGCTACTACAGTTCATAGAACACAACCAGTCACACTAGTAATGGCTCGTTGAGTTCTTCCTTGTGTCTTAGGCGACTTTCAATGACTCTCCAATAAGTGTGTATAGGAAGTTGGAACGTCGAATACAGATGCAAATACATATTGCGTAGTATTAGATGGTTACAAGGAGCTAAAGAGAGTGCTTCTGGAAGAGTATTGAACTTACAACTGTGTTACTTCAAAAGCCCCGCAGCATGGGCAACATCATGATACAGTCGTATCCACAATGGAAAAGCGGTTCGGACGGCCTCCAAAGCAGGCTTGTTGTAGAGAGCCAACATGGAAACGTTATGATTCACTACATTCGAAACCAGATGGTTATCACCTACTAAATCTACAGACTCCTCTACAATCTTCGCTGCATATTGAAAGCAGGTCGACAAGGTTTTATTGATATCTTGCAAGAGGGTAGTCATCACCTGAAAGTCATTTTTGATTCGGTCCACATGTTGTTGCTTTTCTCTATTGAGAAGGCGAGGAATGAGTTGACTGGCAAGAGGGAATGCGCCGCGGTCAGCATAAGCCTTCAAGTCTCGGGATGTCTGAGCGCTGGCAGCATCGATTTGCTGTATCAGACCTCGCACATTGCCTACCCTGCCTTTCATCTGGATGAATCTCCCTGCCATTAAGAGTGTTTGCTCCACATCGCGAAGCGGACATATCACTTCCCCAGAGGTCGACTCTTGTGTGCTCGAATTAAGCGTTATGTGGGCAGCTCTCAATACGTCAACGGTGAACTGGGTCACATAAGATCTGCATACCTTGCCGGAGGATGCAGAACCTAGAGGTAACGGAAACATAGGAACGGGGCAGCACAGAGGGTATGCATTAGAAGTACGTAAATCTGCTTTAAGAGTATGTGGGCAATGAAGCTCCAGAATTTGAGTGCAGGAACGCATAAGTTCAGCTTCATCGATATTTGAAGACGACCTTCCAGGTCCTACGCCCATCTGACCACACTCCGAGCACGTCCTCTCGTGCCGATGAGTGGGAGCCTCTTCTGATCCAGTTAAATCTCTGCTGAGGTTATGATCAGCAGGATCAAGAACATCGACTTCATCGTCAGTACCAACCTTCTGCACACTAGAGCTTGGCAGCTTCACTGACTCATCGATATTCATTTGTGGATAACAGTCGTGTTCGTTATACTTCTGATTCTGTTCAACCAAACCATTAGCAACCGGAACTGTTGAGACTGAGGCTTTCCCGCCTTCACGATGTTGTAAAACCTCCGCACTCGGTGGTGCTATTTCAATCAAAGGAGATTTCGAGATTTCCCTCATTGAATCTAACCCAGATCGAATGGGTAACAAGAAAGGCTCAGTTCTGGTGGTGACGAGTTCCTTGTCAACACCAACTTCTTGCTCAACCACACTGTGAGACGCTAACAATACTCCATTCATACTATTCGACGTCTTGTCACCTGCAGCCATGAACCTCACTTCCCAAATATCAGCCTCATCCCATGGTTGGTCTTAGATCATCTTCGCAATTGAACTAAAAAAAAGTGTGGTGATTGCTCTGCATGCTAGGCTTACCAGTAAGCTCCAAATCGGCTGGCAAAGTTCCTGACGATTCTCCAAGTTTTGCAGGATCAAGCTTAAATGGTATACACGTATTTGAAGTGAGACCATTAGATGCAGTCGCCACAGAGTCCGCATTGCCTGAATCCACTTGAACTTGATGCAGGATTGGATGGATGAATCCGCTTAAATTCTTCTCAACTTTATCTATTACCGTCAGCCTTGGGGACAGTCGCCTGCTTCGCAATAATTCGTTGGTATACAAGTGAAAAAGATGAACATCAATAAGCCTCTCGCATGCTAGAAATGAAGACGAAGAACCAGACTTGACTGAATATTTTCAGTTGATTGACTACATAACAGCACTTAATTGCTGCTACGTACAAAAAAATCCTGGGGCTTCTCAGATAACCCAATACTTGTAACCTAAGAGCGACAAAAGTATTGAACATTCCAGTTCAACCATCCACCCTCTGTGCATTTATTTCTATACAAAACGTGCAATTTGGGCGAGTACGCTGTGAGAGGTGCAAAATGAACAGAACCGTTACTGACCAGGTCAAGTTACTGAGAGGCAGGGAATTATGACGGACATGCGTTTCACCGGCGACTCAGAATCTGATTCTGGGTAGAAGTGCCTTGCATCCGAAGCATTCCTAGCCGCACACAAAGCTTCCTCGTGCATCCTTGTATCCTGCTGCAAAGAGATACTGTGAACATGTGATATAATTGCATCCAACTTAACCCTCGTATTTTTAAGAGAATGCTTGTAGTAGGAACGTCCTGCATTAGCTCCCATAATCGTAGAAGCTTCAAACAAAGAATAGGTCAGAATGTTGATGCAATCACTTGTGAGTCTAGGAGAGGAAACCTTACCGCGTTCTGTATGTATGGTAAGAATGTCAAAGGGTGGCCTTCTTCGGCGGAAGCAAATATTTCTGGAACTGGAGAATCTTTGGGCACGAAACGTGCGGAAATTTCCCGAAGGGGCGAACCGTGGGATCCAGAGCCTCCATCTTTTTCATCCTCGCCTCTCGTTTTATTGACTAGGCTCAAGTGCATGAAATGTGCATGCTTGGCTAGGACGTATGGCCTCCTCCCAATACGAGCGATTTGGGCTCGCCGGACCATAGCTGTTGGGAGTGCTGCTGTTGGAGGAATATCCAGAACTTCTCGGCACTTGTCACCTTCAAAGATGATCAAAGCACAAGTCAGTCTTGGGACAGTTCCTGTACGAACGAGTCCAAAAGGTGACAGATAGTTGCAAACGACGACACGAATGTGCTTGACAATTGCAACTGCTTTGAATTTCAAGCAAATGAAGAGCCGTCGTTTGTATACAAGTACAAAAGAGCTTTAAATAAGACACAATGTGATGTAAGAAACAAGTGAGGTGCACCTCACCTAGTGGATTGACAAAGCCACATCTGCAGCAGGCCTTCATTAAAACGTCATCGACTGAAAAGACAGGCAAGGAACTTGCGCAGACCAGGCAAGGAGTGATGGCTAGCCCGCACGCTTGACAGCCTAACTCCTCTGCTGCAGTCATAATTCTCTGTCTACGTCTACAACATGAACACTACACAATATGCTGGTAGATATGCTCTCCATTCCACGACTTAAACAACCCCCTTTACGACTAAGAATCTCTATTAATGCTTAAACGCGAAAAAGTGATTGTGACACAATAGCCTATCCAGTCGTTAAATCGGACGTGATTCACGGCGTCATTGAATGTTAGGTCCTACTATCAGACAGTGTGCCTAGGAGTTGAAATGTCAACACTAGTCATAATTTTGTCTAATGATTTCGACATACCAATGAATCTAATTATGTTAATTACTCTCGAAACCTAGATTAGACACGATTCTGCGTGTTCACTGGCAGCTAGATACAAAAACAGGGCATAGCTTAATTATTTATGTAAATCAAGATGTGTCCACGAACTCAACGTCGTTGTGGTGTTACTTCATGTGTAACACCACAACGCCCTTCGTTATGTCCACCCCTCCGATATCGAACTAGAGGCAATTATGGAATCATACTCTTGTGTACCCACTCCGACTCAAGTTCCTTGACCTGAAAACGTGCACAGTCGCTTGAAATCAATGACAATGGTCATGCCTTCCGACCCACTGGCGCCAGACCAAAAGTAATCTAGAAACTGACCGGAAACCTGCTCAGTTGAACAACAAGGCACCATCAAAATACAACCTTGTAGGAATCAATGAAAACAAAATAATCAAGACTCTACATCTTACAATGAACGCTTAAATTCACAATGCAAACTTCAGAATGAGATCTAAAATGCAACGACAGAAACTCAGTAGCGACAACCCAAAAAAAAATCACATGTCACCAACAACCTTAATCAATGAGCCTCGCAAACGTTGCTATTGCGACGCGATCAAAGAGACACGGAATCGCGAATACAAAACAAATAACAACAAGTGAAACATATATTAAAAAACGCACTGAAGAAATTGGGTTACCAGGGTTTCATTGCGATGGTACTCGCAGCAGCAAGCATGATAATTCCAGAACGCAGCTCCTGCAATGCTTGCTCTCTCTATTGTATTATCTAATTCGTCACACTCCTTGGAAACCATCGAAACCCATTTGAATGCTCACTGCCCCGCCATCGCCCGGTAGCTTCTTTCCGAAGCCTCCTCCACCGAACGAACGAACGAACAAACAAACGACTGAACGAACGAACGAGGGCTTCGGTTCGTCCAACCACACCGTACGTACGAACGGACGGACGGACGGGTGGCTGAATCGAAGAAGGCTTCAGTTCGTCGACACGAACGGGAAAAAGTTACGTTCGTTATGCTTCAGGAAGTCGTGGTCGTCAAGGGGACGAAATCAAAATGTATACACAATAATGCTTAAAGTTGTGATGGTTCGGCGTTAAGGCTGTGATGGATTAAAACTGTGTGGAGGTGTTTGTCGTTTTATGTTCTACTTGTAATATTCTATGCTTATGACATCCTCAAGTGGTGGGAATCAGTTGATTATAGAAATGCAAAAAATGAAAACCCTAATATTAATGTATTGCACAAAATAAACTTACATTAGAAAAAGAATATGTGTTTTGACTCTTGTACATTGGCTTCCAAATTCTGAATCATAATTCTTGAGAAGTTACAAGTATTGCAAAATGAATGAATAAATAAACAAATAATCCTATTTTATGTTCAAAAAATTAGTGGTCCTACCAAAAACATTATAAAAGCATTAACTTTTGGTAATATTTACATATGAACAATAGACACTATTTCTACTACTAAATAAATTAACCTTTAAAAGTATACCATATACTCTTTAAATAATAAATTACAAATACCAAATGATTTCTTTGTGTTCAAGCCAAAAATTCTAAATTCTCATGATTTTATTTTTTATTTTTTAAAAATTTCCGCTTATAATTTTCTCTAAATTTTGTGATTTTGGCACGTTTCTTTATTTAATAATCCAGTTAATTATTATTTTACATACCAGTTGTATTTATAATTAAATATTTAAATCAATGTAAAGTTTTAAAAATTAAATAATTTATTAAATAATTTAATAATTAAATATTAAAATAATTTAAATTCCACAAATATTTTCTATCCATAATTCAGTATATTAACAATGTTTTGATGATTTTGTATTTATACTAATAGATCATTCAAATATAATTATCTGCTTTTTGTTATTTCTGTCAATTCTTTTAGCTCATTAAGCATACCTTTATAGCCATGGTGGTTGAATTATTTTAGAGAATTTTTCTTTTTCTTTTAATTATTTTGGAGAATTAAATTTATAAAGTTTTATAAATTAAAGATATTTTAGAATAATTAAATCTCTACTTCATGTGTATATTTTTTAATCGAAAAATTATGATTACACTCGATTTGAAATTTTTCTTATTTGGGGTTGATTCTTCTACCAATAAATAAAACTAATACAATCTTTTTTAATACTATCCAATACTTTTGAATCTTATAATTCTTAGACTTCTGTGATTTTAGTCTTATAACCTAATGATAGATTGATGATTTGTTATTAAAATATTAACATTTTAAAGAAGATGGTCGTCAAAGAAGGTGAAAAAGAAAAAGAAAAAGAAACACATCCAAAAGACATATATCTATAAAATTTTAACACAAAGCTTTAAAAAAATACAATTATTATTTATTTGTGCTATTCAACTAATAACACCAATAGATATTTACTTCTTTACTATAAAAACTTTAAGGATGTACATAAAAATAAAAATAAAAATAAAAAAATATTATCAGAGAATTGACCATATAATTCTGGAATCAATTTATTTAAATTAAAATAAAATATATTTTTTAAAAAAATCTCCATTTGGACCAATTTCCAAAATGTCAAGACCAAGTTGACAACACTACAAGAATATATTGATGTAAGCCAAAATTTTGAAGTATCTATTGTAATTTTAGAAAACATTATTATTTTAAAAATTATAAAAAAATATCCTAAAATTGAAACTACTATATTAAGGTTTAAATTATATAAAATGTAAAATAAGATATCATGTAAGTTAATAATGCTCAATTTTTTTTTTTTTTTTTTTTTATTCCACAATAACCATGTTCATCATTATCAATATATTTTGTCATAAATCTTCTTAAATCAAAAGTAAAGACTCAATTTTGGTGATTGTAGAAGACTTTCTTAGAATAATTTGTATTATTTTTTGCAATAAGAATATTTTTTATAAAAAAACATACAAGTATCTTAATAATACCTATTGTAAGCATAGATTCTTAAGAAATATTATATAATACTAACAATTGCAATTTATATCCAATTTTTGAAAATGATTATTTAACACTTTAAGCATTAAGATCAACCTCTTTATGAAACATCTTCCACCAATTGATGGTCAAATTCAATACATTAATTAAATTCTAGAATGTGGTCTTCTTGAATTAGAAAAAAAAAGATATCATATGTACATGGTTTTTGATGGAATTTGCTTCCAACAACAACATTCATGTATTTACAACAGAAAGAATTAAAATTTATTTTTTTTACAATCATAGCCAACATTCTTAAACACATTATATCCAAATAAAAATGTTCAAGGCTTCCCTGCAAAAGATTTGGTTTATAATTTTACTGCTATCAAGAAGGAGCTTATGCTCCACCTATTGACTAAGCAAATCTTGTATGTATGTTTGAATATTTTATTTAAAAACCATCACTCAAATTAACCAATGCACCAATACAAATACATTACTTTTATTATAGTTATAATACTTAGATAGTACTCTTGACAGTAACATCACATCAAATGTTCTAAAACGTATTTTAGTATCATCTCAACAATGAACTAGCGACAATCATTTTGACAATCGTACAAATGTATCAGAAATAGTATTGAAACCACTTTCCATCTGTCATAGTAGTACAATGATAATATTTTCCATCTGTCATAGTAATACAATGATAACATGAATAGCCTTGAAATTGGGGAAGTGATCTCATCATGCTCTACTTCCACGAAAATCTAAGCACATTGTTAACTTCGAAATAGTTATACAGGGACCCAGTAGTTTCGTACAGGGTTTTGAATCCTATTGGGCTGGAATCCGTGATTTTTCTAAACCTAATTTAGTAGTAATCCATTCTTGAATATCAGCAATCTCTTCGTTTGTAGCTGAGTGTCCACCACTGTCAAACACAACACAGCATGACCTCAGCTGGAAAGAAAATTTATATTTCTGAAAACTGGGTAATGAAGGCAGCAGTTAGAACTTTACAGGCTGATCACCTAAAAGCATCGAACTGAAAAAAAAAAAAAAAAAAAAAAAAAAAAAAGGGGGAAAAGAAAAGAAAAGGAAAGAAAGAACATGTGAGTGCTGAAAAATGCACGAAATTTGGGGTTAGTTTCACGTACTTGACATAAGTCTTGAGAGTGACATCGTTGAAGCCGACCCCTCGAAAAGCATCAGATGATGTTTTAGCTGAACGCGCCGGCACCACTCCATCGTCTTCAGACCACAAACAAAGCGTACAGTAAGTTTGTACATCAACAGCAGATTATTTAATGGTGTAAGTCAAAAGCTGAGATCAAATTCTGGTATGCCACATGATATCCGCTTACCATCGCAATGGCCTATAAAAATGGAAGTCTTCCCCGCCCGCTCAGATGCATCCCGATTACCAGCCATTCGAGATACAAAATCTCTACACCATGCCAGACAAACACCATTAGTTTTTAACCGAGGAGCATTGCACAGTTACCGTCCACTACACAATTTTCACACGAGTACCAAAGCTAATCAGATTAATTTTGCCAATTTACGTCTGATGTATTCCACGTCTTTATTTTAAAAGAGACACGCAGACATAACACATTTCCTGAAAAGTGAAAACAAATAAATAAATGTTCCCAAACTCCAGTAGAAACCATAAGTGAAACATTGAACCATCCAATGCAGACAGTCACTTCCTTCCAAGCCGTATGATTTTCTTTTCCACAAAATACAAGAAAAAATCAACCATATCAGTGTAGGCTATTGTAAGAGATTACTTGGTGGTAGGCATCCATCCGCTAAGACCAATTGCAGCGTCCAACTTGACAGGAAAGGGCTTCCCAGTGCCTCCATACTTGCCAAGAACAGAGCACGCAGTAATGTAGAGCGCTGTAGCACAACCTTGACTGAATCCACCAACTGCTAGTTTCACGTTCTTTGAACCTCTGTCTAGCTTACAATCACAGGGGAATCAAGCGTTAGTCTCCCTAGAGCAGCTTAGACGACAGCTCCAAAGCTGCAGACAAAGGACTCTATTATGATGACACACAAATATATAACCACAGTGCAGATGTGTGCTCCTCCGATACTGACTTCTCTATCTGTAACACACCAAAAAAGTACCTCACCTTCTGTCTTCTCATTTCGAAGAAGGTTGGCTACAGTTTCCGCCGATCGATTTAATCCTTCCATATCTACATCTTGGCCATATCTGAGTTCAAACCCTGGAATTCCACATCGCATAACCCCTCGTTTCAGCATATTAATATTTGAAAGCGCACACAAAATCACTAAAATTATTACTTACTCAAGGTATCCTTGTTAGAATTCAAATGCTTGCTCTTCAATTTCAGAACCCAAAATTTGAAAAGATTGCCAAGAATAGCTTGCCTCAATAGAATTGCTATCCTAGCTCCTAAATTGTTTTTACTAAGGTCGAACTAATGACAGGAGGAAACATAAGTTATGCATGAAATTCACTTACAAGCTGTGACTGGAATGTCTCGTGCAAGTGGTGCTGTTGGTATAATCCATTTGATCTACAACCATTCACAAAAGATACCTTAACTTTACAGAACCCTATGCTCCAGTGTTTTGTTAAACTGAAAGATGCCCTATGCTTAACCACAACGAACTCAACCAGAACAAACTAGCTTAAATTGCAAGGTGACACAATAGTCTAAGAAAAAGGGAAACACTCTTGTGCATACATTTGGAGATAACCCTTCCATGTTCTTCAACTCCTTAGCCCATCTGAAATTGCACATGGAAACAGAAATTTTGAGTACCAAAATCTATTGAGTACTCCCAGAAAAGGACGAACATTCCTTTAAGCACAAAATAAAATTTTATTTTTCAAACTTGAGAATTATATTGATGGAACTTCCAAAGACATGGTCAATTTAAAATCGTTCCAAGGTAAATATTACCAAGTTTGAACAGATAGTGCACAAAAAATCTTTTTAGGGAAAATCCATCTTGGTTTTCAACTTTCAGGCTAAATTTCTTCATTTTAAACTTTGACGGTAAAAATGCGGAGACAAATGAAGCACCTGGCACCAGAATCACTAAAGCCATGAAGCCACACAATTGTCGCTAGGTGCTCTCCCTTAGGTTCCAACACAATTGTCTCAAAATTGTAATGCCTAGTGAATCCTGTTTTGTGAGTGCCAAAGGGTTAATCGAACTCCAAAAAAGTGAAGAGTTATAAATCACACAACACTATCTAATTTCAGAATTACAGAAAAAATGTTCGAACACTCACTTTGCTCGACTCCTGAAGAACCCGCACGACTAGTGTTGCTCGAAGCATTACCAACACCTTCCATTTTTATACAAGAGCGTTGTTTACTCCAAAGCTCCCCACACCTGTAAGATAGCAACAAGTGAACTCCAAAATAAGAGGCTTCACACATAAAACATTTTAAAAAGCTTTCTTCATAGTTCCAGTACCCTGGATTTATCAAAATCGCCATGGTTTACGCCATGAAGATTAAGGAGCCGACTGTCTAGGGCAAATTTCACATGCTTGAAAACAATTCAGCAGTTAAACCTAACTTGATAGAAGGAATTCACAAGCGACTTCCAGAGCATCAAAGTCATGGCGAAACTAGAACTACGATTGCACAATTCGTACAAATAATTCCTTTTTCTGGAAGGAAAAAAAAAAAAAAAAATTGTCAATACCCCCATAAGGCAAACAAATTGGTAAGGAACGACTTCAATACCTGAATTTATCGCAGAATGGCAAGCTCCAGAAACTGCGCGTAAGTTGCCGCCTTGAAAGTATGCACAATTCAACCCTGTTAATTTGTTTCAACTGCGCCACTGGGTTGTGCGTTTGCAATAAAATTGCCCTTGGAATAGAAGAAAATCTGATTCCCTGCACAGCCATGGTCACTGATCGGACAAAAACAATAAGTTGAAGGGGACGGGGCACAACTAATAGCTCAAGCAGCTCCAAGATCAAACCAATGAAGTACCACTTCAAAACCTACCTCAAACCATCTACCTATAATATAAAATAAGATCAACTATATATAGATATATACTGTTCAAATTGCACCTGGCCGCCGCAGGCGCTACAGAAATTGCACCAAAAAGAAGTAAAGTGAAATTCTGGAGGAGAATATTAGAGCATGACAATCAAAAATCTTTCGAAAGTCAAGCATTGAAAAGTGCAACAGAAACTCGCATCCCAATGCAGAGACTACACTAACCCACCAAGGAATCTCACAACTCCCATCTCATACCCAATTCAGATGAGCAGAACCTCGTGCATACAGGTGCAAATTACGCACGCAGATTCTCAGACCGCCGCGAACGCGCAGAATTTGCACTTTGAGCGACCTGCGGACTCAGGAACTCAAATGCGAAATGTCAACATTCTTATTCTCACAAAGCGAACAGAGAATCACGAAACCCACCTGGGTGTGCACTTGCATGGGCAGGGAAACCTACGTACGTATGCCGAAAGCGGTGCAATCAGAAGGGACATGTGGGTTGAAGCCCTTTGGGCAATTGCTCGGTGACGTGACCATCGAGGAGACAGGCTCCGTGGGCTCGTGAGCTCGTCACAAGAAGCTCTTTTTTCGATTCGGCCATGGCTGCTCATCGACCGCGAGCGTCTGGGCAAATCCTACGACCCCGAATGCACCACGAGAGCCCGAGACGACGACGACGACGCACAGATGGGCACCGAAGCACAAAATCAATTCTGGCTTTGACTCTTGTGAGGGTCCCGAAGCACAAGATCAACTCTGGCATTGACTCTTGTGGGGGCCCCACGCCGCTCTTGGTTTGGCCGACTGCTGGCGCCTCCTGTCGCCAGCGTGGCTGCCACGTCTCTCACCTTGCCAACGTGGCGCTTCCTCACTCTGACTCAGCAACCAAAGTTGCACTATCCTTTTTTAAAATTAAAAGTAAAAAGTAACATTTCATGACATTGATAAAACAATATGAAAACGTGTTGTAATGCTTCACATCAAGTGGTTGTTTATATTTGTTCATTTGTTTCATTAGAATTTGGTATTCAACAAAATATTACTAAAATTAAATTTAGCTTGATAAATTTATGTATTAGTTTATAAAAAATCTGATAAATCTAACCAGTCTTTTAATTTGAATGAGCTTTTTGGCAATTGGTAAGGCACAGATTTAATTTATTAAATTTATATTTAATATTTCGTACATTTCATCTTATAAAAAACTTTATATAAAAGTAAACAAAAGCAGTATATAACTTGTAACTTTATGCAAAAATTAGCATAAGTTTTTAAGGCAAAAATGAAATGAAGGAAAGAAAAAGAAAATTGGTAATTTTACATAGAACTATTTTAAATATACTGTACAGTGATATATATATATATATATATATATATATATTGATATGTGGTTAAATTAAGAAAAATCATATTGAATGTGTATCATGAAGAAAATACCATCATAACTAAACAACATCATACTAAAAATACAATGTAGAATAACTATTGGAAAAAAACAAACAAACAAATACAAAACAATGATACATAAATGTATGATAAAAGTATACATAACATCCTTTATGAAAATAAAAATTATAATATTATATATATTTACTATGTAGAAAATTATATAAATATAGTAATGCACCACTTTACTCTTGTTGTAGTTTTTTCTTTATTAAAATTTACTATTTTCACCTCTTACATGTAAATAAAAAAATTGAATAAGTTTACGTTTTTTTTTTTTTTTTTTTTTTCTTCTTCTTTTACAATTTATTGTACAAAGAATGATGTATCTTCAAGAAAAATATTTAGTTGACATAATATACTTATTGAAATTATGGACCATCAACTAGTGCACATATTAAACATGTATTTCAATTCACAATTAATTACATCATATCTCATGGACCTTTTACAATTTCTGAATTTTCAGTTAAATCTAATTTTTTAATCATGTTTAGTAATGAAGTTTTATATTGAACATGTAAAAATTTGTGATAAAAATGAGGAATTAGAACTTCGAAGTAAGTTTTAGAATTTTACTTTTATTAAGATCAGAAATTGTAAAAGGATTTGATATTTAGGTCTTCTGATTTAGGTGTAAGGATTTTAACGTTAAATTTGTAGATTCAGAGACTATACCTTTTTATAATTTATAATATAACTTATAATATAATAAATAAATTTTCAATATAAAAATTAAAAATATTATTTTAACTTTACTAATTTTAGACATTTAAGATAATTTTTAAGATTTTAGATAGTAACAAATTATTTTTCAAACGTGAGTGTGTTTATCTATATGCAAGTAAAAGTATAAACCACAAAGTTTAGGATTTAACATTAAAGATATGGTATTCACATTAGATTTCATTTGTTCAAAATTAAATGTTTTGGTTTGAAGAATAAAATTCTAAGATTTAAATTTTAATGTTTACATTAGAGTTAATAAATTTGAAGTGTGATACAAGATTTTTAATTTTGAAAATATGTATAAAATTAAATTAAAATAATCATAAACTACTAATTTTAATGAAAGATTTGTAATTTAAGGTCTTCAAATTTATAGTTTTACAATTCAAATAACAAAATTGACAGTTTGAAGTAACAGATCTTATGAATTAATATTCAAGGTTTCAAATTCAGAATCTGCTGTGTATGCTGGTGAAATTCTTTGGTAGTCTTGACATCTATTAAATATTAAGAGAAATAGTTTGTTTTACCAAAGAATTTTTCACTATGTATTTTAAAATGTTTTCATCTTTTTGAAACTAAAGGTTCATAGCCATATTATGTAAAAGGCCAAAAAATACACAACACACCCATCATCATGAGGAAGAATAAGCTATTTTGAATTTGGTGTGCTTACACCAAAATATTGATGTGTTTTGTTTGGGTTGCATTACAAATTGTTGTAATAGTTTAACAAAAAAGTGCTTTATATTTTCTATTTTCTCAAGGCATATGTTCAAAGAGTAAGTTGCCTAGGTTTAGTATATGTTCATGTTAAATAGAGATGCCTTGTGACTTTTCAAATTATAATCAAATTATATGAATGTGTAATTGTTTCTTCTTCTTCTTCTTCTTCTTCTTCTTAAAAACACATATCTATTATACAAAACAACTTGGGTATAAGACAAAGAGAGAAAGAAGCCTTCTCATTGGCCAAACTATATATATATATATATATATATATATACAAATATAAATTCGTTGTGCAACTCTATTTTCTTTCTTTCCTTTTCTCTATTTATTTATCAACCACAGAAAAAGCTCATGTAAATTTGTGATAGGAATATTATAGTGTGGTTTATGGTGCCCTATAAATTTTAATTATCAGATACTTCACAGGAAGGTCTATGTTTATTTTTCATATTGCTGAACAATTTAGAGAAGGAAATCCACATTGTGACACAAATAAGAAGGTTCAAGATTTTGTCATTTGCAACTCATTACCATTCTATGCTCTAATTACAGGTATTACTTTACAGATTGTACTATACATTCAATGGTTTGTAAACAACATTTGCATTTAGCTTCAACACACTTAAATTTCATGGATCTAGCCAAAATATCCGTTCAATATTTAATTGTATTACCTAACTCTCATTTTAATTGGTTCAAGTTCCTTGATTACTTCCACACTTCCTCCTGTCTTCTAATATTATTTGTCATGTAAGTTGTTGGTTTTACATTTACCAAAGAGGAAGAGAATCAGATTAACTTGAAAATAAAACACACTTGATATTGACTTATATGGGTATAATAAATTAGAACCCATTAACTTGGTTTGTCTTTACATAATTTGTCATCACCATTCTACCAAAGATACTTGCCACGTCATGCATACAAATGTTTCACATTGATGACTGTCCTTCGCAGATGCAACCAAATAGGTATTTACACAGTAAAGTATCTTAGAGGATGTGAAATATCTTCAAATTCCTCGTACCTTGAAGATTCAGAATTCTATTTTACGAAACGTCCAAAAATGAAACATAAAAGGCTACGTGAAAGTAATTCCACAAATATCAACATGGAAAAGGCCTCTGTACTTGTGCTGGATTTTTAATATTAGTTTTTAATCTCAATAATATTTATTTCATAACCATGCATTCAACGAAAGAAATCTGGTTTTTTTTATTAGTATTTTCAAATTCACAATTTCATGATACAAGTCTTGATAACAAAATTTAAGGGGAGAAAATGGTGTTTTAAAAAACCTCAATTTACTTTAAATTCCTGCAATAATCACTCTGAATCATGTGAAGTAATATATATATATATATATATATATATAAATTGTTCAAAAATCTTACACAACGAATAAATATCACAACACATTCAACCAAAAATCGCACCGTGAATAATGAAACAAAGAACTCATGCCACACAAACACAAGCGGTCATGAAAACAGAACGAGAGGATAGAAAAACAACAAACCTCTTTCCAACAATTACTTCAAAAACTCATCAACAACACAACCTTAGCTTTGCGTCGCCCCAAAATCCATCTATCTACACAAAAGAAACATATCATTCGATTGAAACAAAACCACATAACTGCATGTCATCTTCTAATCCAGGCTCTGATCGATGACAGATGTGGGAGTTTTGCATCAACTTCGAGTAAAACAGGTAAATTAACACGGTTCCGAACAAGCGAGAAGCAACACAAAAGTGTGATGAAGAAGATGACCCATGTTGAGGGACACCGTGTGAGAAAATCCTGCGGGGCTGACACGGCACTGCACCGACACGCAACAAAGGGAGATCCATTGCGGCGGTCAAGCTCAGCGAGGGATAGAGAGAGCGAGAGAGAGAGAGAGAGTTCCGGCACCGCGATGGCCATGGAAGTGGACACCCACTCAGCTCACCATTTCATGAAGCTCCCACTGTGCGCACCTTCTCCCAGCCCAGTCCCTTAGTACCATTACTAAACTCTTGTGGCTTCACCAGCTGTATACACACGATCGCCGGCTGTTTCTTGCTAGCTGCCTTCTTATTACCACCTCCAGCCATCCTACAACATTCACGCACACACACACAGACACCGTCACCACCCCCTTCGTCACCTCATTTCGAAAAAGCACAATTCCACTCAGCGATCACTCACATCCTACCATGCATCTAGAGGCGAAGACAAACATCGACAGCAATACCAAAACCAACAACAACCCTGCGTGCAACTATCAAACTGCGCACTAAACGCAATGCACTGAGACCATCCATCGCCACAGAGCACCAGTGACCAAGACCAATTCCCTTGTTTCCCAATTCCACTGAACAAATAACCGAACAACAAACAAACAAAAAAACAGACACGAAGCCCGAACTCTCACCTGAACCACGCTACAGGCTGCAATGAATGGAATGACAGCAACTGAATCGATACTAAAACCGAGTAGTGGTCTGCGACCAGCTTCCTCTACAATCTCAGCAACAATCCTCGAATGAATGCCGGTTCGCGCGTCGTGGCTGCTTTTATAGGCCGAAATCAGGCTGTGGCCATGACCATCGAAAATTCCAGGTAAAGGGGGAGTTGGGTTGGGGAGAGGTGGCGTAGAGACTGATAATTTGCATTACAATCGCAGTACTCGCGATAAACAAATGTCTGTCTGTAGGGGCGTCGTGGGCTCTTCCGCGTCGTAGCTTACGAGGAGGGGGAGGAGGCTCTTGCAAGTCAAGCGGCGCGGGTTTGGGACCTCCTTCCCCGCCCCCTTCCCGAAGCTTCCGGGAACCGGCTGGGCCGGGTGCGGAATGGAAACGCCTGAGGATTGGGGTGGACGGGTGGGGGGGTCGGTCACCCGTTCCCCCTCATTCATTTTTTCCTCATCTGCTTTTAGTTGGTGGTGGTGGTGGAGGTATATATTGACTATCATTGTCTTGTCTGTACCATATTGTCTGTGTTCCGGACATTACCCACACTTTGCTTTTTCTATACAGAAAGGGAGAACATATATATATATATATATATATATATTTCTGAATATGAATATAATACAGGTTATTGTGTGTGGTGATATGTGGAATTAAAACAAAAACAAACTCAACCGACTACAGTGTTTTTTCAAATATGATACTCATGGTTTAGGTGGAATGAAGATTTGGGGAGTAGAGGGATATGTGTCTTTGGGAATGTATTCTTGGGTTACTTTCGTTTTGTTTTATTTTGTTTTTTTGAGTTTTTTGCAAAGAGTTGAAGTAATTAAAATATAGATATAAGTTGAATAGAAGTTGTTAAGGAAGTTTAAAGATGAATTTGATGAGAAAACAATGAATTGAAATGGAATAGATAAGAGATTTTTTTAATGTAAGAGACATGGTTTATAAGATTTTCGTTTAAAGATTGATTGCAGGTATATATGTATGTATATATGTTGATAATACTATAATATTTTTTCTAACAATTTTTTTATATAGAAATATCAGTATACATGCAATATTAACCCAAATGTCTATCATTGTGCAAATCTAATTGTTACAATAATTTTTTTTCTTTTTTCTTTTCATTTTTTATTTTTAAGATTCTAAAAGATAATGAATTGTTATTTCCCATTGATTGATTTGATATTAGAACCTAGAATATTTGTAGTATAATGGAAAATAAATCAAAAAGTTCATATATATATATATATATATATAAATTCATAAAATATAATAATAATATATGTTATAGACCATGAATTCATTTAATTAGTTAAATTTATATGGCACACACATGGTACTTAAACTTATATTTTTACCATTAATAAAAAATAATAAAATTTCTGCATTTGAAATTATTCCTTCAGTACTTCATGAAATTTATTTAAATAGGTTTGTAAAGTGTTTTTACTATTTTAGAATGTTTTTAGAACGAATTTGATGTGCATATATGAAATCTCAAATTTTAATCTTAATTTTTTGAAACTTTTTACTTCAAGTGGTTTTACTTAAGTCAATATTTATCTTCAAAAAATCTCTTGTTGTTACAAATCGTAATCAAGTCATCTACATCAAAAGTAATGGCTAAAGATCTATTTTTACTCCTACCAGATATGTGTTGAGAGTTGTATAAATATTTTTCAAATGTTGATGAACAAGACATCTATCTTTTTCTTCCTTTTTTTGGTACAAATCTGTTGCTATAACTGTCTATTTTGTATCCACAATGATTTTTAAAAAGTTTGTTGATCAACAACACTTTGTGTAGTAAATTGCAGCTTTTAGAATTGTCTATGTGACTCTTTTCTTTACAGTATTTTATTTTAAAGTATTTACTGTACATCCGTTTGATAGACTTTAAGATTTAAAAATTCAATAAACAAATAAGGTCAGAAATGTATAAGTTATTACTATAATCAATTTTTTTTAAAAATAATTATGATTCATGTTTTTATTTATGTTCAACTATTATTCAAACATTTTAATGTAAAAGATTGTATAACCTCATTTATAATATATTTGATACGAAAATTCTAGGTACACATTATAGAAGTTGAAGATCTTTTTTAAAATTCTTATAAAAACTATTATAAGATTTATGGTTTTTCTAAAAAAATAAGTATTATTTTTCCTATCTTATGATTTACAATAGCTTTTATAAATGTTTAATTTTTTTATTATAATTTATTATAATTTTTCTTAATGCATGTGTAATATTACTAACTTTTTCATGGTTTTAAAATAAAATGTCACATTAAGGCAAATTACTCAAGTCAGTGCAATAGACAACAATAATGATTTCATGTATTAAAAAACCCAACTAAGTTGAAATAAATACTTTAACAAAATATTGACATTGCATGTATGATGTTTATGAAGATCTTTTTTGTTTAATGGAATTAATGTAGAGAGATTTAGGAGATATTAACAATACTTAAACAACAGTTATAAATAATAGAATATATAATATAATTTAAATATTATAAATTAGATTAAATCTACCAACTAGTCGGGGTTTATTTTAGTTCATAGGGAGATAGTGGCTAAAAGGCCAAGAAAGATCTTGAAGACCAAAAATAAGAGCTTGAAGATCAAAAGATTGAGAATCAAGACCAACCAAATGACCATGAAAATATTAATTTGAAGGACCATAGCAACATTAGTTTAGAGGACCAAGAGAACATCAATTTGGAGGACCATGATAACATTAGTCTAGAAGACTAGGAGATTATTAGTTTAAAAAATGAGGAAAAAAATTGTCTAAAAGATTAGAAAAATCCAACTTTGAAGGACCAATTAAATACTAGTCTAAGGGATTAAGAAAAAAGAAGAAAAAAATAGAGGCTGGACCAAAAAAAGAAGAATCAACCAAGATGAAGCAAAGATGGATAAGGCAAAAAAAATAAAAAAGAAAAAAAATGAAGAACCAAAAAAACATGGACTAATAAAAGTAAACCTAAAAATAAAGGAGGTGAAACAATTAAAAAAAAGAAAAGAAAATAATCAAATTAAGAGAAAAGAAGAGATGTATGAAGGAGAAAAAAAAGAAAAAATACAAAAAATAGTGAGTAAAAAGAAAGGAAAAAAAAAAAAAAAAAAGAAAAAGAAAAAGAAGATAAAGATGATAGAATACAAAAAAAATAAAGAAAAAAAAGAAGAAGAAATATGAGATAGATAAAAAAGTAGATGGAGACTAATAGTTAAATATAATATTGTAGAGATCATTCCTATGAATGATGATAAAGGATTTTAGATGATGGGACATCTAAGAGGATAACAAATTAAAGAAGAGTTAGATGAATGTCATCTACAAGAAAGAAATCATTAAATAGGCATCTCTATTTCATCCAAATTAAATGAAAAATATTGGGTAAGATAGATAGTAAAAGCATATACTTTTATTTCTATCAAAATCTCAAGTCTTTACATACATGGAGGTTTTGGAGAGAGAGAGAGAAAGAAAGAAAAGAGAGATGCTTGGCCATGGAGGGTTGCCAATAACCAAATGGAGGAGAGGGACAAAAGATCAATATGAAGTATGGAGAGACATCAAAGATTCAGATAAAGCATTCTAATTTCAATTGAAAGGATAGTGGAGAGCTCTAAATCACAACAATAAGGTGCCAACAAAAAAACAAGAAGATGCCAAGAAAAGAAGAGGGAAAAGAATAAAATTTACAAGGGATTGAAGTAAGCTAAATAGATAGGTACATTGAAATATGAATGAAGATTAAGATTGAAGCAAAAACAAGAAATAACTAGCCAATTTAGAAGAACTTAGAGGAGGTCAAAATTTTGAGATTTTTTGAGAGGAGATTGTAAGAGATTTGAGAGCAGAGTTGTAAAAAGAGAGTATATTAAGGCCAAATTGAGGGTTAATATTTTGGAAAGAATCAGGAGGAAAAATGAGGATTTAGAAAAATTGATAGAAGAAGAGTTGTAGAAACTAAGGTTGGAAGTAAGTTGAAAGCTTTAAGAGAGAAAATTGAGGGAAAACAAAAGATTTCAATTCAAGAAGAGGATTGAGGTAAGATCAAGTGGTTAAGAAGAGAGGAAAAAATTTGGAGAAAATACCAAGTAATACTTGACTTGATATTGGAAAAGTAAAAAAGATTTAAAAAAAAAATTTAAGGACAATTAAAAAAGCTAATTGTGATATTTAGAGAGTAGAAATAAGGTACAAACAAAGATCCAATGACCATGAAAAAAAAAAACAACCTAGCCAAAAAAGATAAAAAATTTAAAATAAGAGAGAAGAGAGTTGAAATAGGAGATTCAAAAATTACATAAGAGATTGAAAGAGAATTAGAAGTGTGCATTTGGGTGAAAATATTAGTTACTTTAGAAAGAGACTAAGACAAAAGAAAAAAGAAGTAAAGACGAGTCTATGGCCTTATCAGACTAAAATAAGCTTAGCTAAAGAATGAAAAGAAATAAAAATTAAAAAACAAAGAAAAGAAGAACCACAGGCCAATATCTACCATAACCTAAGAGGGTCTAAAATTATTAAAGTAGCAAGGAAAATAGAATCTTTAGGAAGAAGAAGACCACAACAACCTATATTTGAATTACATAAGAGAACCAAATTAAGCAAAAGAGAAGAAGAAAGATCTAACTAACTTTCTTGCTTATAGAGTATTAGTAAGGCTAAAGAGATATCAAAGATGATGCTTGAACTAAAAAAGTGAGTCTAAAGACTTTGCATGAAATTTCATGGCCTAAGAATCGAAAATTAAGAGTACTAAGAATTTGGAGGACTTTAAGTCCAATAAAGAGTTTGATCCAAAGTACATTGCTTTGTTTAGAGTAATGGCATACTACTATAATATTAATAAGACCAATATGAAGGACTTCTTGGATTTAAATTAAGATCAAGTGAGGGCATTAGTGGAGATGATGTACGTGAAGAATAGATTTAGCTATGCCGGTGTCGTGTGGCGTGATTTTCAATCTGGGAATACACCGGGTATCTAGCTGTAGAGAGTTTAGGTTTCTTTTTTATATAATGCCTTAGCTCCCAAAAAAAAACTCCTTGCTTTGTATAAAAATTCAAAATATCTTAAAATTCTTCAAAATATATTTCTTCCCGCCAAGGACCTTTTTACATCAGACTTTGAAAATTCATAAAAGCTAATCCAACCGTTCACTTTGTTTCAAATTTCTACATAAGCTAGATGCTATACTTAACTTTTACCACAAAAAAATTGCACCGTACATCTATCACCGATCGTTCGGCATCTAAGAAACCCTAGCAGGTGCACAAAACCCTAACTTACAAGCACCCG